GTTCGTGATAATCTGGCAAAGCAAGAAGCAATCTTGTGCTCTCCTTCATCCAAGCCATCAATAACAAGAAAATGTTTGGTATTTTCGTTCAATTGCTGTAATGGCGTGGTAAATAAGAAATCGAACAGTGCGTTAGGATCATTTGGAAATTGATCAGTCCGAAGTTTATCAATCAAGGCAGCATATTCGGGAAGACTCTTCGAGAGCATAGTACTGAGACTATGGACTAACGATTTCAAATTGCAGGTGCGAGGATTATCTTTTTGACAGTAATGGTATCCAGCCAATTTTTCTTCCTCGTGCCGACGGACAAACTCTTGTGCGAACGAACTTTTGCCTGTTCCAGCACCACCCCAGATAAGGAAGGCACGAGACTCCCGAGGCCCGATGTCTTTTTCAAACCATTTTTCAACTTTACAGAACAACCACTCTCGACCGACAAATTCTTCCTTCATCCGATCAGAGACTGGATTGAACTTTAGCTCTGACCTTCCGTCACAAATCCTTTGCTGTGGCTCTGACTTAGCCTTTTCTAGCTTTTCCAGCCGGCTGTTCGTAGACACTTTCCAGTCTTTGATTTCTTTCTTGACAATTTCCAGAGCGTCGTGTAGTTCGTTCTTTGTTACAAATTCACCCAAGCTTTTCCTTAGAACTTCAATCTGCTCCAAGGTCACCTCCACTTGATTCTTCCAAAAAGTCATATCACTTTTCAAAATGTTGATATCCTGACCAAGTTCACGCTGTAACTGAGCGATTACTTCCAATTCTTTTTCTTCAATAACCGCTAGACCAGTGTGGGATAAACTACTAAGCTCTTTCATAGCGTCTTGGACATCTTTGTCATGGTGCAGTTCTGGGTCTTGAAGAAGCGAGGTTAGAGATGCAAACGCGTCGACTTTGTCAGCATCACTTACATGCAACAACGGTGCATGCGCCCAAAGATTCCTAGCACATCTTGCCGCTGCTATTTTCGAAAGATCGACACCTGTGTTGAGCATACCATTTGTCCCTCTCGGAGACCATTCTAACACATTTAGCAGTCCCGATATATCAGTAGTTTTGGCGTTGACTACATCAACCTTTCTCGGTCCCAAGGGAGCCATGAAAATTTTAGCAATCTCCCATGACGCACCAACGGTCAGCCATTGAGTGTTGTCACTGTTTCTCCAGGATATTTTTCTTTTATCACGTGATCGATGGGCATTCTCCAAGTGAGATTTCCACGTAGGTACATTATTTGACAAGGTTGCAAGCAGTGAAGTGTGGTACTTGTCAGCAGCATTTTGAATTATGGTTTCTAAGCCGTTCCGGGTAATCTGGATTGCTCGACCAACAGTAACCCAGTTTGTATATTCTGCATCACTTAGTCTACTGTGAGCCATCACTATTTATTTTTAGCCTTGAAAAAAAAATGCATTAGTATATTAACCTCCTCCGCAAGCATCTGGAACAACATTTCTAAAGTTTCTACAATATAGCATGCTGTGCGAGCCTAACTTTTCTACTGGGTAACCAATGAGCTGTATATAGTCAAGAAATAGTGTTCCAGTGGTAAAACAGACACAGTAATTACTTTCAGCCAAAAGCGGACTAAATTTTGAGATTTCACGTTGGTCACCATATTGAATTTAAACGCGCCGGAGTCTGGGATCTAACTTCACAAGACCTATTTTTTGGTCAAGTTATTACACTGACCTGTAAGGCCAAGTGTCTTAAATCTCCAATTCTCTGTTTTTCTGGGGTTTTTTCGTCGTGGAGAAATCGAGTTTGCGTTATTGCAGGCTCAGTTTCCACTGTTCCAGTTTACTATACAGATCAGTTTTCAAGATAGCGGCTATCAGTGAGTGACTAGTTTCAGTCTCAAACAAGTTCTTCATTTGTCAACGAATTTTACCGCATTTTTCTGTGGATTTTGTATTTATCCTACTCTGCACTTTCTTGGAAATTGACTTGGTGTTTTTTTTTCGTGCAACGTCTCTGGAAAAGCGATATCTGGCTTTCGAGAAGGAGTAATATCGAATTTTATACGTTACAGACTTACGGAATGTAAACAATGTTGTCTGCGTTAGCGCATGCTCAAAAACCATGTGCATTTATGGATAACGTTTGTATTTGTGAGTAATACTTGTTTTTCATTGGGCATTACGAAAGCATCTCCTGAGGATAACTTATGATAATTTTGCCTATCCCATCCACTCATCTATCGATCACGTTACACTTTCACGCTTTGCGTTTGCGGTTCACGCTTTGCGTTTGCGATTCACGATTTGTATTCTTGTCTATTACACCATAGCACGTATGTCGTCATTTTCAGGCCAGTGTAAACGCCTGTGAACGGCTTAGCAGGCGTCTTGTTGATTTTTTTTTGACCGTCAGAGTACTAAAACGTGTTGCTAAGAAATTTCAGCAAACATTTTTAAAAGTTTCTATTAATTTTTACTTTCTCCCCAATAAAAATACAGACGCCATAATTGGCGTTGGCGTTAGCTCAGTTGGTTAGAGCTTGACAACTGACCTCTGTAGCTCAGTTGGTTAGAGCTTGACAACGATCTCTCTGTAGCTCAGTTGGTTAGAGCTCGACAACTGACCTCTGTAGCTCAGTTGGTTAGAACTCGACAACTGTCTCTCTGTAGCTCAGTTGGTTAGAGCTCGACAACTGACCTCTGTAGCTCAGTTGGTTAGAGCTTGACAACTATCTCTCTGTACCTCAGTTGGTTAGAGCTCGACAACTGACCTCTGTAGCTCAGTTGGTTAGAGCTCGACAACTGTCTCTCTGTAGCTCAGTTGGTTAGAGCTCGACAACTGTCTCTCTGGTTCTAGTTCAGTTGGTTAGAGCTGGACAACTGACCTCTGTAGCTCAGTTGGTTAGAGCGTTGCACCGGAATCGCAGGGCCGCAGGTTTGATTCCTGCCAGAGGGCTCGTAGTTGCATTTTTTGCAGCTGTTCCTTGGCAATCACTGAGCCATGTATGTATAATCTGGAGAGAGCTATGGCAATCACTGAGCCATGTATGTATAATCTAGAGAGAGCTATGGCAATCACTGAGCCATGTATGTATAATCTGGAGAGAGCTATGGCAATCACTGAGCCATGTATGTATAATCTGGAGAGAGCTATGGCAATCACTGAGCCATGTATGTATAATCTGGAGAGAGCTATGGCAATCACTGAGCCATGTATGTATAATCTAGAGAGAGCTATGGCAATCACTGAGCCATGTATGTATAATCTAGAGAGAGCTATGGCAATCACTGAGTCATGTATGTATAATCTGGAGAGAGCTATGGCAATCACTGAGCCATGTATGTATAATCTAGAGAGAGCTATGGCAATCACTGAGCCATGTATGTATAATCTGGAGAGAGCTATGGCAATCACTGAGCCATGTATGTATAATCTAGAGAGAGCTATGGCAATCACTGAGCCATGTATGTATAATCTGGAGAGAGCTATGGCAATCACTGAGTCATGTATGTATAATCTAGAGAGAGCTATGGCAATCACTGAGCCATGTATGTATAATCTGGAGAGAGCTATGGCAATCACTGAGCCATGTATGTATAATCTAGAGAGAGCTATGGCAATCACTGAGCCATGTATGTATAATCTGGAGAGAGCTATGGCAATCACTGAGCCATGTATGTATAATCTGGAGAGAGTTCTCTAGTGCTAAAAACACACACAGTAACTAGCGAATAAATCCTGAGATTTCACACCAAATACAATTGATGATTCCCCTTATTACGTTTTCGTAGCGCTTTGCATTGTGGTTATAGTGGTTTCACTGATAAAGATAGCGGCCTCGAATGAAAATATTGAATGTTTTCGCGAATATTTTGCTGTTGGCTATCGCGCACCTGACCCTAGCTTTTTTTGAAAGTTCTTGCACGGGTCAGGAAAAAAGATAAGCCATCTTGAATATCAGTGATACCACTACAAACACAATGCAAAGCGCTACGAAAACGTAATAAGGGGAATCATCAATTTAATGGCAGTGGCGACTGGGATCTACCTTCACAAAATATATTCTTCCATTGATTTCTAGAATTTTATTCATAGAAACGCCATAACCATTTGTGCAGTGATAAATAGGATTTGTGCAGTAATATAAAGACCGGTTTATACTTGCAATTTTTGCTGCGATTTCTAATTCTAGTGCGATTTTCTTCTGATGGATGTGAATGAGTAGATGAGTTATGAATGTTCTGAGTATATGAACCCTCATCTAAACATTCATAACTCATTCAATCGTTCACATCCAATCAAAAGAAGAAAATCGCACCTAAAATCCCAGAAAAAATTGCAAGTGTAAATGGGCCTTAACATTAAAGTTCACAAAAAGACAAGAAGTTTCGAGAACTCTTTATCACTATCAGATTATCTTCTCAGTAGAGGATAAAGGACGAAACCGGTCCAGTCCACTCCATTAAGGCCATGTTGCAAGAGTCAATCTCAAAGGTTCAAAGTTGCAACGCAATTTCCAACATAGATCTATGTTATCTAAAAATCTTGACAGTTGGTTTACGGTACATGTTAATAGCCAAGTACATAAAGTTATCAAACTAGAATCTTTTCAAATTATTTTAATTACGTCCTACATTTAGTGTGAGCTTTCGTTAAGATATCAAGGTCCACATTTCTTTATTTCGCATGCTAATGAAATCATAAATTCTGTCTCCTTTAAATCATTTTCAAGCAAACTAAAGCGTCTACTCATTTAAACTGATTACATTGTATTTACTGTATTATTTGAGTGTGTTTGTAATTTAATACAGGGACGGATCTACCGAGGTGGTGCGCACCCTACCTAGTGGTGTCTGGCATCCCCCTAAAGTAGTCCAGCACCACCCTAAAAAAATCTTGCTTGACCATACATTTTCTGCTTTTCGAATATAGCGATTAGCGGAACGTCTACTGTTAGCGTGTGTCGATTTCTTGAAACAATTCAATTGATTTGTGAGCTCATGAGAAAATACTCAGAATGCTTTAGTTAAATATCATGGTTAAATATGTAAACATGTCGACGTTGTTATACAGCCATATTTTCAAATATGATGTACTTTAACAAGCAAATGTAACTATACTGTGCTACAGCAACTGTCCAGTCATGCACACGTCGTGATACAAAGCAGATATAAACTTTATAAACAAAAGATAATGCGCAACAGAACGGCGAACAATGCCGAACATGCAGATTCAGCCATCTCAAATAATGAATATAGTAGCGTTGCAGACTGCAGAGGAGAGTGGGCAGTAACGCTCCCTCATGCACGCCACCACCCCATTGAAAACCTGCACTTCTCCTTGCAGATAAGGCTCGATCCGCCCTTGATTTAATAGTGATAACAACAGCGGAATTGTGATGCCATGCATATATGCTTATTTTATTTGTTTATGCAAGTGAACTGCATGTTTGGAGGAAATCCACCGTAATCGCAGAGCTGCAGGTTTGATTCCTGCCAGAAGGCCTATAGTTGCATTTTTCCCAACTGCTCCTGGTTAGGTCTGAAGAATGGATATAAAAATTCCACTCGGAATTTCCAGCTACATATTCCTTGAACAATTACTTGTATCAAGTGAGATGCCCAAATTTCTAAGAATAATTTTCCCATTTCCTGAAACATACCAGAAGCCATCAAGCTTGCATGTTCATGTTGATACCTTAGCTAGTAAAATAATTATGTTATGTGAAAAATACATGAAGAAAATGAAATGTAGAAATCTTCCATTAAATATACTGCTACCAACACAGTCAGGGAAATTTTGAAAACATGCATTGAGGTAAATATATGTATAGGGACCAAACGTAAATATATAGAGAGAAAACATAAGTTTTGTGGAATTGAAAGAACTGAAGAATTTTTTATCATTAAGTATCTTTACAATTTTACTTATTTTATTATGGAAAGTGATGATATGATAATAAATTATTTTGTTACTAGTATTTAATTTGAAATGTTTTTTATTGTAACTCCTAGAGTTTTTTTTGTATATTGCAATGTAACTATACCTAAAACTTGTTAATTCAGTTTTATGTTACTGCAAAAGAGTTTAATAATTCATTGATCTCTGGGTACGAGAATGGTTGAAACCTCGTGAAAAATGTAGTCCCAGACTCCGACAGTTGACTCCGACGCGCTTAAATTCAATATAGCGGCAGGGTGCCAACTTTAGTAAATCGATATTAAGGTAGGTAGGTAGGTAGAGATATGCCTGCACAGGAGGCTATCTTTATTTTAGTTACTGTGAAATCTTTCTCTGTAGTCCTGCATTACACAGAGAGGGCCTTGAAGACAAGGACTAGTCTTTGTACATATAAACTATAACAAATACCAAGAGTAGATATATGCCTGCACAGGAAGATATCTTTATTTTAGTTACTGTGAAATCTTTCTCTGTAGTCCTGCATTACGCAGAGAAGGCCTTGAAGAAAGGACTAGTCTTTGTACATATAAACTATAACAAATACCAAGAGCAGAGATATGCCGGCACAGGAGGATATCTTAATTTTAGTTACTGTGAAATCTTTCTCTGTAGTCCTCCCTTACGTAGAGAGGGCCTTGAAGACAAGGACTGTAATCTTTGTGCATATATAAACTATAGAAGTAAACAAAGTATAACATATTGCTGTAGGAAACTTTAAAAATAAGCGAATTTCCTGTAATTAACCCACTTATAATCTTTAAATCGAGAATAAATATATAAATTGTCACATTACGACGAGGATGCTGAGAAAGTATAAAGTCTCCACTTCAATTTTAGTAATTCAAAATTTTTCAATCACGAAGACAGTCGCAATGTCTGTGTTCAAATTACGTACTGAAAATACAACTCACAATTACTGTTACTATATAAACTTACCTTCCGAGGTTTCTGTACATATTGTGTGGCAAACTTAGTGTATTTGTGGTTGAAACACTTCGTCGAAGTCCGCTTTTAATAAGCGATCGCCTCTCCTATAAAGGTTTGATGCCACGACGACGAAATTCGTCGCAATACATTGTGTATGCGGAATACAGATGGCTGCACACGAGTGATTCTATTGAATGTATTGAATGTATTCAAAATTAGAAATGCCAGCTATTTCGAAATGTATCAGTTAAAGTGTCACTATAGACACTAGCCCCAAATATGATTTTGGGTATGGTCTAATGTTTGGGTTATTCTAAATATTCTATAAGGGTGCATATAATTACTATTTGTTCCCCGTTCTAGAGGTGGTAAAAAGTCAGGGGGTTGAGGAAAGAAATTGACCCTTTCGGGAAAGAAAGAAGAAATTGGAAAAAATTAAGAGTCTCAAAAACGTTGAAATTTTCAATTTTTGTTTCTCTCTTTGAGAATTTCCCTCAAAAATGCAACGAGTACACAATAGGCAGCTCACCCTTCCTCTGGTCAAAACGCGGCTTTAAAATCTGACAGCCTTAATTTTCAGGTTTTTAGTTAGACCGTTTTGGGGTTAGTGGGACTAAGTTCACAATGTACAGTATGTATAGCATTGATGTTTAGTCAGTCATCTGTAGTTGAGGATTTTAAACAGCAAGCTCGTTGGTTGAATAATATCTTACATTTATTTTTCAATCATGACAACCGTACTCTGATTACAAAAATCTACAACAACAACTTTTATAATTATTAATAAATATTTTTCTCATGTTCTAAGAACAGCCACTATATCATGCAAATCTTAATCATGACAAATAATCTGCAATAAACTATTTGCAAAATATTTATATGCCATTTATATACGTGAGACATTCGTATTTATATCACATAAACTTGCTCTCACCAAGGCAGTGATACAATTACACGATGTCATCAACGCATCCAGACAAGCGCAGAGTGCAATGGGGCCAGAGTGCTTATGCCGAGGGCCCATGACACTAGAACTGAATAAGTTATCATGTGTAAAAAGGCGTGATAATTACGTTTGTGATAATTACGCATAAATACTCGTATATATTAAAGACATGGGGTATACATTTAGTTCATTTTTATTTATATGAAATTAAGTTACATTACAAACCAATTTGGTTTGGTTTTGAATTTACTATGTGAGTAAATTTGTTAAACACGTTTGAATTTATCAATACAATAAATTCGCGACGCATGTTGAACCCTAACTCCGGACTCTAACATCTAACCCAAATCTAATCTTAATATGACCCTAATCTAACCCTAAACTTGACGACCTTTTCTTTTTGAAAACAAGGTTCCTTCCTGGTTTTCGACCAACACCAAACTTTGTTACCAGTGGTACCCTGATGGTGATGGTGGTCAGTGTGGTGCTGGCGAACCCAGACATCTTTGCACACACGTCAACGCGGCCACCCAATATTACAGAGACGACACAGACAACAGGGGAAGGGGATGTCGCATGAGCTGGTCCATCGAATCACCTTACAGCCCACAGTGGTTCAAGAACGTGCAAATATGCTACCGATGGTATGCGGATGGTGACGGCGGTCAGTGTGGCGGTGGGGCGACACGCTTGCTGTGTGCCCCGGTGGGTAAATATACGCCGATCTACCGGGACGACACCGATAACCTCGGCGGTGGGTGTAGAATGTCTTGGCAGCTCAAACTACCACCTGTGCATAGTTCGTGGGCGAGGAATATCCAGTTGTGCTACGAATGGTATCCAGATGGTGATGGTGGACAGTGTGGTGGTGGTGCTGCTCGAAGCTTTGTGCTTTGGCCAATTTCTGGACTCCTTACTACAGAGATGATACCGACAACAGAGGAGGCGGATGCCGCATGAGATGGGGTCTTTATTACTAGTGAAATAAAATTGGACTGACTTGTATTACTAGTGTTTGGTCTTTCTAAAATTTTCATGTTGCTGTAGTTCAGCTTGTGTAATTCTGCTATAATTTTGCACAATTTTTTAAAATTTTATCATTTTAAATGGATTTATGAAATAAATGATATTAAGAATGAGTGCATTGATTGGTGTTGGTTTGGGGGGTCTGAACCCTAACTTGAGGTATATATGCTAATGAGGTTTTACATCCCCACCTTATAAAACTCAGCATTCTGATTCCTCTCCTTTAGTCACTAGAAACATTGCCCCCTCACCCTTCGGTTGGTTGGATGTTACGGCTCTTGCCCCATCCAGGAGGGTTTTACGTTGTGCTGCTGCAGCAATCACGAGACGTCTTTACCGTTAGTACGCTCTGATGTCGTCCTTCGCACGCCCGTCAATTACACGTTTCGTTCGAGCCGTCCCGTTTTTACTTCGGTTGGACATCGTGTCGCCCCTGTCGGTTTCATCGCAATTGATGTGCTGTCGTCGTTCGTGGCCATTACTTATTCGTTCCTCTGGTCTCCCCCTTTTCCCCTTCTCGTTGTGAGCCGTTGGTTTCCTTCGGTGTCAGTCCTCCAACGTTGCAGTTTCCCATGCCCCCCCTCGCGTATATTAATTTATCATTATAGCTTGCATGTTTATCTCGTTTCGGAGCAGATTCGTCTCATCGCCACTTCTCCAGAAGTGTCAACTGATGTAGTTCTATAATGCACATGTATATTGTTCTCGGCACTCGAGAACAGCAATAATATATATAGTAACTCGGTTAGGTAATTCGTCAATACCCAAGTGCATGCATGGCTATGAAATACTACGATCGACCCACGGTCATGGCTTCCATCGAATTACCTCTTCAAATGGTACTGCTGGGGGGGGAGGGGGGGAGTCCGACGATCTGTGAACCACTTTCTTGTAGTCTACAATCAGTGGCAGCTGAACAGATTTAATTTTGGGGAGGCTGATCAGTTCCAGTCAAGTTGGGAACAACAGCTAATTAGATTTTCAGCCAAGTGCAAACACGGCACGCAAAACATTATTTAACTGTAACAGAGTAGCATAATAAGAGAAAGGGAAAATGGGGGGCGGGGTCCGGGTATGCTCTCCCGGTTAAATTTTGCAAAATTGAGGTTGGAAATACCATTTCCGGCGCTGAGTTGAAGAATTTGGATGAAAAAATGCTCGTGTACATGTCTACACCAGAATACCAGATATCTGTGGCTTGTGGATTAAACAATTCTCACAGGAGAAATTCTGCACCGACATTTGATAAAGTCTCAATCAAAACTGGGACCAACTGTTTGTAGTTTTCGAGTGCTGCGGGAGGGTAACACTAAGGCTTGACTTTACACGCATATACCCCACTCTCCCTTTTCAATGTTGGCATATCCACTTATTTACACTTCTTATATTTGATGTAAAATTCCATTCAACATTGACTTGAGGGAGCGAGGGGATATTTATTTAGGGAAATGCCATTCGAGGCCAATGTTTGTGGGTTGTCCACAACGTTTTGGCCAGGATTGTAGCTATGTCTAAGCTTTCATCGTCCACAATACCACCAGAGACAGTGTTTATATGTATAGTTTATATATAATTTTTTAACTATAAGTATAGATTTCTTAAACTTTTAACTGAGAATATAATTTACACAGTCGCTTTTGGCTCCATTCCAACAAAATCAATGTACAAAACAATGCTTCATACGTTGTCACAAACATAACCAAGATGAACACTATATATATCCTGGATTTAAGTCCCAAGTATTAAACTGCCTTGTCTGGCAAAGATCGACCTTAAGTCCCTGTTTATGCCATTTCCCTTGAGCAATAGCTTGACAAACTTCACACCAATGATGAAATTTTCTATCCCAATATTTTCCAATAATTGTTTGACTTATATCCCGCAGACCTTTTCGCTTCCATTCTAAATGCTTATTATATTCCGTTTCGTTACTCATCAAAAACTTTAGACGCTCGGCTAGTTCTCGGGGATTTTTGAAATCCCTTACGTTAATGATAGCGTTTTTTAAGATTTCCTGGTAAAAACTCATAAATCTTGTCTGTACTCATGACGATTGGCACTGATCCAGCGTTCAACGCATGTAGAATTTGATCATCGACAAAATAGTCACAATCTTGATTGAAAAATGTTATAGCAAATTTGTATGTCTTTTGTAACTTCGATTTCATATTTTTAAAATCGGATTTATAACGCTGGACGAGTCCTGCCTTATTGTGTAAACATGCACCGTAAGAATCTACCGGGATATATCTCATTAATTGTCTGAGGTACTCGGTCCTCACCGGTTCGCAGTTACTAAATGCGGCGATAATCGTACCGGTTTTGTTTTTAAATGGTACAGGAGGGTTCAAATTTGGTTTCTTGAACAGAGGAGTAGGGAAGTCGGAATCTAATCTGTAGCTTCGTAGTAAATGAAATTGAGATATGTACTCCGGTTTTTTTAAAACAGGAGTTAAACGGGGTTCTCTAAAGTGGTTAGGATCCAAGGGATGTCTTTGTTTGGCGGTAGAGGATACGGGTCCCGAGCGTGGACGATGAATGCGTGAGCTTGTTTGATTCGATCACGATTAGATGTCACCTCGCAAGCAACTGGACACTGACCTTTGCCAGTGCCTTTTTCCAAAAAACCTTCGCTTTTTCTCGCCGGGAAACCCCATAACTTGGACCAGAATAGGAGAAGGATTTTTTCGTCTGTCGCATACGGTACACGGGTTAGGTTTGGTGAGGTGTCGGAGAAGAAAAGGCTGAGAAGCAACAGTGTAATGCCGATGATGGTTGAAAAAGCGACGAACAAGAAAATTGGTAGCGGTAGTTTTTTTGCGTGTTGTTTCACCAGCATTTTGTTGTAATGGACCATATACATTGGATGTGGTATTTGAAGTTGGGTGAATAGGATCTGTCAATTGTCAGCAAAGAAAATCAAGTATACATTATGAACACAATATAACTTAGGGGCTGTTATATATCAGTCCCGCTTTGCCTGGACCGAGATGTGAGGATTTCGATGTATTGATATAAGTCATGCTGCCGCACAATTCAGCAAAAAACTTCATTATTTTCTAGAGCAATAATAATCTTCTTGAACTACCAGATCTTCTCTACAACATTTGAGTTCTATTAACCAGCATTCGAACTTTTGTTTAACCTAATGACTTATTTCAATACATCAAAATCAGCCCACCTTCCATCATGTAAACAGCGGTTAACCCTTTAATTGGCAATGCGTCCTGCTTTATTATTTTACTCTGTCTAACGCCAGACGATTTTTTCTTCAAGGGAAGAGTGCTTCCACTCAATGATGGGTAAAGACGGAAGTCACAACCTTTGATATCAATGGTCAGATACTCAGATCTGAAAGGACTATTTTCTTCCCGCGAAAGCCCGTTCGATAATAGAAACAAAAAAATGGCAATACATAATAGCCACCGAATTTATATTATTTAAACGCAGGCAATCTAGGGCAATATAATAAGTTTTTAAAATATTTCGATAGTGTTTAAAGTATATGATTTGAATTACGATATAATAATCATTCTATTTGTAAATGTCTAATCTTGTTTCATGCATGAACTATGAGTTGATGTTTTGGAATTGTTCTGCAACAGCCAACAGGTCAAGAACATAACTAGCTCACTGCATGAGCTGTTTTTCTGTTTGTGTTTTCCTATATAGTATAATAGCGTTCCTTATATTAAAATGAAAAAAGTTAATTAAATTGACTTTACCTTTAAATACGTTTTCTCACTTTTTCGTCGTGTTGTTCATTAATGTATTTCAGATAGCAAAATTGGCAATTGAAAGTTCAATTAAAACAAAGAAATAAACAGGTAAATGTTTCACAAGTCAGAAATGAATGGTTATTAAAGCGATAGTATATTCTGGTGGTCGTAAACAAATTTAACAAACGGCGCGTTTTACAATTTCATAGGGAGACGTGCATGTTAATTCGCCATATCCAGTTTTTTTTTTCGCGGTTCGTCCTTGTGGGCAAGTCTACGTCACAATAGACGATTCCCATTATAGACTAATTTTAAAACTAGGCAAGGACATGCAGATAAATAACCACAGCTAGAACGAGCATACTAACATTAGTAAAATTACAAAGTTTGGTTTCAAAATGCGGAAAAATATAGCCTTGCAAAGTTCGCAAATTTTGTATACTTTTGTATTGCGTGCGGAAATTGCTACCACACTAATTTGGGCCAAAAATGGTAGCAATTTCCGCATGCAATAAAAAAGTATACAAAATTTGCATGCCAGCTTTTTAGGGGCAAGTATAATTTGTTCGTTTGTACGATTGCAAAAGAAAACTTGTGTAGACTGAATACTTCTATGGAGTGCCTATTATAGGAAGAAGTCTTTCCGCAAACCGCGCAATTTTTTTCTCTTGTTCCGTCAACCGCCCGTCATTTTGTTGTATAACGGTGACCGCCATGTTTTCCACACCAGCAATTTAGACCATCCATTTTCTATACGAAGCATAATTCAAGCATTCAAAAATGCCATGAAGGACGGATAGCTTTAATATGAGCCCTTATTAAAGGGTACTGAATTATATTTCTAACCGTAATCCGCCATTAAACTTGCCTAACAACCGAAAACCGTACGATAACTTTTAAAGTCGCGAAATTCCGCCACCGCTAGATAGTATCCTCACCGTAAACCGCTGCAAAAATCGATATGGTTTTGGCAAACAAAAGGTGGCCTTGACGCGGGATAAATGTTCAATTAACAACAATCCGTGCACAACAATACTTGTTTCAAACATTAAAGTTTCACGTTATAAAAATGACAATGTTTTTATCTGCGATTGTTCGTTCGTGGACGCAAACGACGGTAAATACTAAAAAAATGACGGTCCCAAGATAAAGTACTGAGAAGTCAGGATTAGCAAACCGCTAGCCTAAGGCGGATTCTCCGCCCGCGCACTTTTGAAATTTTATAAAATGTCAAAATACAGCGCACGTGTGCTTTCCTGTTGCAATTTTTGCAAATATTTGATGAAAATTTAACCGAATTACAAGACTACGAGAAATATTTGTGTTTTTTCAACGTTTATGGGACACTGCAGTTGCTGGTTGTAACTGGTTTGGCAGATATCGTTGAGTTTTTCGCCTTGTGGCCCTTGTCGAATGTTGATGTATTTCAGCACTGGATCCAGTGGATCGTTTGACATTATTAGGTAGGTGTTTCCGTTTATATTCCGTATTTTTAATGTTTTACTATAAAGTATCGCTTTCTAAATATTCAGTTCACCATCAAACTGAACAAGTAGTTATAGTACGATCAACTTTGCCGAGGGTGTCTTGTGTACAACAAATTTTCTATAACAAGTCTTCTCACTCTTTGTCTTTCTTGCCGCCAGACAGTATATCAACGACAATGGATCGCTATTAAACCAACTGTGTCCAAGGACTCAAATTACTTTGTCAAATTTTCCTTGCCAATTTTTTCAAAGACAAGCACACTTGTTCAAAAGCTAGCATGTTACACTACCTTTTCAACAAGTGTATACTTGGAATAAAACTTGCCATATCTAACTCACTCATCTGTTACCAGCTTCATACTTTTGTTTCAGAGTATGAAATAAAAGTATGAAAAAATCCTCAAAGTGAAAAACTAATTTCATGTGGGGGCATTATAAACAGCATGTTATATGAATATATAACTGTGCTGTTCCTGCATATTTTGCAGAATATACTTGATGTGTATTTGAATATTATTTTAACTGACAGTTTGTTAGAATTTCTATGAAGACTGTTTTAATAATTAAAATACTTTCTCATACAACAAGCAAACATTGACTTTCAAAGAAATTGATTTTTGCCATTTTTTCAAAGTTTTCTTTTCAATGTAATCGTAACCCAATTGTAACATGTGGTCATTCTGGCAAAACCCAAGGCTCATGCACATTTTGCTGTTCTTCATTTCCGAATGGAAATTTCTACTATATATATAGCTTTTTATAAATGATTGTACCGATGATAATCAGGGCCAAAATAATTTAATGGTTCGTAACCGTTTGTCAAAATAATTTGCCAATTTATATATTAATCACCCACAAATGAACTCGGCAGCCATTAAATGTATTTTTATCTTTTGTCAAAGATAAGAGTTTAAAATGAGAGGTTAAAGTTTGAGAAAAACTATAGTATAAATTACAGTATTATATGAATTTATCACTACTGTGCGGGCCAAATGGAAGTCTATGAATCCAGCATGGGAAATGAAATATGGGTTTGTAGACTACCAAATGAGTTCTTTCATTAGACCATTATAAATATACATCATGGTCTACAGAACAAATTTGCCTCCACAGTGCTGATAATTTCAGTGTTCTTTAACTTTAATGGACAAATAAACACATCACAAAATTTTGACAGTAACTGCTTTTAAAACCACAAATTTATGAATATGCAACTTGTGGTAGCAGCGCTGCCCGGAGGGGGGGGGGGCAAGGTGGCAATGGTGCCCCAGTCCCCTAGTTAAATAGAGCCTCAAAATTTGCAAAAGGGGGGGGGGACTGCAAAATGTAATTAAAAAAATAATTTGGAACGTTTTTTTATAAGTCATGGTATAAGAGAAATCTTTTAGACCTGAATTTTGCTGGTATTTGTCTGGAAAATTTTTTTGAACCTTTTTTTGGATATGTCTGAGAAATTTTTTTTACTCCCCCTAAATAGGGGCCCTGAATTAAAAATTTGCCCCGGGCTCCCGAATTTCTCTGTGCGGCCCTGAGTGCTAGCTATGTATTTTATACACTTCTCAAAATTCTAACAATAACTGCTTTTAAAACTACATGAAATTTATGAATATGCAACTAGTGCTAGCTATATATTGTACACGTCTCAAAATTTTAACATTAACTGCTTTAAAACTACATGAAATTTATGAATATACAAATGTCAATTAATTTATGCTATGTATATTGTTAGGCTACTTAAGCCGGTTAAAGACGAGCAAGTTTTCTATGACAAGTTTTTATGTGACAAGTTTTATTTGCTCGTCTGTACGCGCAACTTTGACAAGTTTTTCTATGACAAGTGCACTTGTCTTGTTCAAAAGCTAGCATGCTAGCTAGAAAAAAATTGTCAAAGTACAAATTTTGTTCGTCTGTATGGGTCAACAAAGAAAACTTGTCAAAGTAATCTGAGCATTTGATGTAATTGGCCAGCTGGCCACTAATAAATTGTCAAAGTAAACTTGTTGACACGTTCACACCAGTAAATAAAACTTGTCATATGAAAACTTGTCATATAAAACTTGTTGCATATACATACATGTGCACTTGGCAAATAAAACTTGTCACATAAAAGCTTGTCATAGAAAACTTGCTCGTCTGTAACCGGCTTTAATTGTATTACCAGTTCAACTTTTGTCACTCTTGCCCTAATATACAAATGCTATATATACTGTTTCTTAATTGTATTGCTATGCAGTTCATGCATCATCTGTTACTCTTTGTCTATACAGTATATAAATGCTATATATATATTGTTACTTAATTGTACTACCAGTTCAACGTCTGTCACTCTTGCCCTAATATACAAATGCTATATATATTGTTACTTAATTGTATTGCCATGCAGTTCATCATCTGTTACTCTTTGCCTATATACAAATGCTATATATATATTGTTACTTAATTCAGTTAATTGTATAACCTGACTGTAAATTTCCAAATGAATCAACTGCAAAAGTGGCCACCAAAAACGGTTACGGAATAACTTTTTTGGAGTTGATTCAATTCTTTGAAATTTCCAGTGTAAACGTGTACGTGCTTTGGTCGCTAAGGTTAGTTTTGGGGTTCCAAGTAATAGCATAATATAAGTTCTTTATTTTTGTCAGATCTCGTACGAGTCTTGCTTTCTGTTGAATAAGGGACTAGTTCAGATTGGAGCAGGCTTATCGCGAGTTCATGGTTAGCTTATGGAACAGCATGTTTTTCCTTTCTTTGAGCGTGTCCCTGTCAATGATGCTTCATCGGTTCTTAACCATGATTCGTGTCCCTCACGCTTAGCCATGTCAAAGGCGGAAAGCCCTGACGAATCTTTTAGATAAATGTCTGCATTGTGCTGAATAAGGATTTGAACAACACGTTCTTTTCCAGCAAGTTTTTGTTGAAAGAAATAGAACCAATCTTCTTCAGAGGAATCGGTGTCCGTGTCATTGTCATTGTCATTGTCATTGTCATTGTCATTGTCATTGTCATTGTCATTGTCATTGTCATTGTCATTGTCATTGTCATTGTCAAAAAAAGGGTCAGTGTCATATACGGATTTAAATGCACGATGAAGGGCAGTACGACCATAAAAATCCTGTTGATTCACTTCAGCTCCGTGATCCAAGAGTAACGACACCACTTGTTCCGCCGCAGGTGAATACATGAAACGATCAATTAGGTACTCACACGCTAGCATTAGGGCAGTTCGTCCATAAAAATCCGGTTGATTCACTTCAGCCCCGTGATCCAAGAGTAACGACACCGCCTGTTCCGCCACAAGTGAATCCACAAAAATGCAATTTAGGTCCTCACACGCTAGCATTAGGGCAGTTACCCCCGGACCTCCTCTGTTGTTTGGGTTTGCTCCATGTTTTAAACAGTCTTTTACCATTTGTAGCTTTTTATCGTGGAAAAAATTAAGCCCTTTTGGTACAAGCGAGTGCCAGGCATACTTGAACTCAGCATAAATCATTCTATCTCTCAGAAGGCGTTCAATTTCTGAATAGAATGAAGCATAGTTTATATATACATGTACAGTGCCGTCGTGAGAATTCGCGGGCAAATCTTCTTTGGTGGCCCTATGACATCATTATTTTAAGCTAGACCCAAGTCAGTCACCCAACTAGACCTTATAACTAGTCTGCATGTGTAGCTACTGTAAGGGGCCCTCAATTTCACAAATGCTCTGACCAATTTAAAAAACTTGCCCAATTTAGGCTCTCGCTCGCAAGTTGGGGCCCTGTTAAGGTGGTGGCCCGGGTCAATGTGCCCCCCCCCCTCCCTGCCCCCCTCTCGGTGGCCCTGTATATGTATACGGCTAACTATAGTACCATATAATATACTGTACCTCGTACAGAATATACGTTAACACTATCAGAGAGGTGTCTGTATGAGAGTACTGTCCGTATTAGAGAGTGTCTCTATTGGGGAGGTATTCATATTAGAGAGGTGTCCGTATTGGGAAGGTAGGCTACGTCCACACTGATCCGTTTTCGAATCCCTTCGTTTTTGATATTTCGACAACGCATACAAATATCTGTGTCCACAGTAGCGTTTTCGGATCGTTTTTTTACCGCACTATAGTTCTTAGAAAACGATATTTTATTATTAATTCGATCTCTATTTATTTTATCGTTATTCATGCAAAAATCTCACAAGAAGGCCGGGAACATTTTTGTGAAAGAGGCAAATTTACCGAGGTTGGACCTAAAAACTTTGCCGATAATAGAGCTTCTATAGTGGCTTTACGATCTCTGAAATAAATTAACTGATAACCTAGGACATAGTGTAGGGCATTATGTTGTCTTTGCAAGTTATGCCGCTTGCAGATTAATCATCAATTTTATCTAGTGCAAGACAAGTAATTCATCTGAAATCTGGAAAAACAACACACTCACTACGCATGATTGTGTTCATGTTTCGCAAAGTACCTGCCTCCCCGGTATGTATCTGCGAAAAATTCACTCTACTCACAATAAAAATCACTAAAAATCTTAGAATATAAAAAATATATTGATAAGCTCTCGTTGTTGTTTTCCCGCTACATACATAATTAGTATTCCATGTGCTCGCGTGTAGCACACGTGCGATGTCACGTAATTAACCGCTCAGTTCCGACACACTCCCCTGTATACACTCTGTAAGAGGTGTATACAATAACACAACAGAAAATGTTAAATTTAGAATAATTGTCAATATCTCAAGATCACTGTTCGTTATTTTTTCCTTTCTCCTACTCATCATCCGCCGCTTCGATCTGTTCTATACGGAGTTTTGCTGCAGTCGCCGCGTCTCGCTGAGGGCGTGGCTCGAATTCTACCGCATCCGGGTTCAGGATTGGCACTTCCGGTACGACATCGCAGCTCAGTTCTAACGGAAAAAGCAGCTGCACGGCTTTTTCCAAGGTTCCGTTTGGAGTCTTCTGACGTACTCCCCGTATCACGTTATCCTTTCCAGGGTAGGTTTCACGTACCTCGATTCTTGCTCTCGGTCTGTATCACCACAACATCTCCAGGCTTAGGTTGGAACTTGCTTCTCTTGTGGGTCATGTTGTGTCTTTCCCGTAACGCTACCAGGTATTCTTTTCTCCAACGCCGCCACAGCTTGTTCTTACATTTAATTAGATATTTTGCTCGTTTTCTCAGTTCTCGTTCTTCGATTCCCCATGGTTCTTCCATAGGGAGTTGGCACGTGCGTTGATGGAGGAACGTAGCTGGGGTGAGGGTTGGTAACTGGATGTCGTCCTCAACGTACGACAGTGGTCGGCGGTTGACTTGAATTTCAACGTCGAGCAGAACCTCACTTAGTTCGTCCCAAGTGAGATGACCTCTCCCGATCACCTTGTACATAGCTGACTTGACTACCCCGATGAGGCGCTCGAATTGGCCGCCCCACCAGGGTGCACGAATCAGGTTAAATTTCCGTTTAATATCGTACTCTTCCGCGAAGCCTCGTAGACTCTCGTCTTTCCGTAATTGTTCCAGCCATTTGCTGGCTTTGACGAACGCGCCGCCGTTATCGGAATAAACTACGCGTGGTCGCCCGCGCCGAGCGATAAATCGTTTTAAAGACACGATGAAGGTGCTGGTTTCAAGGTTCCGCAACAGTTCTAAGTGAACAGCTCTCGACAAGCTGCAAGCAAATATCACGAGGTAAGACTTCCCTTCTGCTTTGGAGGATTTCCGAAACTTCATTGGCCCAGCAAAATCGACTCCGACCACCTCAAACGCTGCACCAGGTGTGGTTCTGTCCTCCGGTAATTGTCCAGCCACTGGAGTTGTAAAGGAAGTAAGGCGAAATCGTTTACATCCCCAACATCGAATGCGTATCATTTTCACGAGGCTTCGAAGGCGAGGAAACCAGAAAGTTTCTCGTACCGCCGCCATCGTAGGTCCGACACCGCCATGTAGCGTTTCGCAGTGAACACGTTGCACCAGCTTTTCTGTAAATACCGCGTTCCGTGGTAAATAGATAGGGTGGATTCCTTGCATTCTTCCGATACATACTATAATTCCTCGATCGTCCGTCTCAAGACCAACAAATTTCTCTTTGCTAGCCGACTCTTTGCTGCCACCAACTGCTGTGTCGTTCCCGACTGCTGTTTAACCACTGCGTAAACTGCTGCCCCTACACCTTTCGTAGACGCGTCACCGAAGGAATGTAATACAATCTCATCAATTGGTTCCTGGTATCTCACAACAGATCTCGGCACTCCTTCCTCCACGGGTAAGGATTGTTCCCAGGTTCGCCAACGTTTCAACTGTTCGTTATTAATCTCAACATCCCACGGGAGTTTTGCATCGCACACGTCGCGGAATAGGAGTTTCCCCTCCAAGGTCAGCGGTGAAACCAACCCTAGAGGGTCATAAGTCTTTGCCAGTTTACTTAAGATACCTCGCTTCGTCGCCGGTACTTCTTCGCTTGGGAATAAAATCTTTAATGTGCCACTTTGTTTGTCCCATTTCAGACCGAGCACTCTCGATTCTTTGGGTTTCACCATCAGCTGTGTTTTTGCATAAGACTGTTCGTCAGAAAGTTCAGATACTTGATGAACCTCGTCAACTTCCAACTGCGGTACATTGGAGCTCCACTTATGAAGTTCAAATGTAGCGTCCTGTAAAATTTCTCGGGAAATTTCTTTGCGTCTCGTAGCTTGCTCCACTGTCGAACCGCCGCTTAGTAGATAGTCCACGTACATGCTTCGACTTCCTCAGGGTACGTTTTGGACCAGATGTCTAAATAAGTCTCGATTACACCATGGAGTAGATAAGATGAGGGTACAAGACCAAATAAGACTCTCGTAAACCGTAAGGTCTCCAATGGTGACAGATCATCTCGACGCCAATGAAACTGCAGCACGTCTCTCTCAGCTGCTTTGATCCGGATTTGCAGGAACGCTTGACGTATATCACTGGAAACCATCACTGGGAACGCTCTTTGCTGTATCAATACGTCCCAAAGCTTATTCATATATCTTGCATAGCATCTTGGTGTGGAGACGTGTCTTAAGTTGCTCCGTGATATATTCCAAATTGTATGTTACAAATCCCGTTGAAAATGTCTATTACTAGTCTCTATAATTGTCTGTTTGTCAAAAATTCAGAGTTTATGTGGACGGGCGATTTATCTCAGCTAAAAGTACTGGTTATAGACGAATTAAATCTAACTGGGCAATGGTCTTCGCCAGGCGGTGATGTGAAGCGGTTCTAGGGCGAATCGGTCTCAATAAAATGGAATCAAGACAATAAAGAACTGGAGATCTTAGGAAAAAACAAACAAGCCATCGAGCAGCGACTTGATATAGGCAGTGGGAACCTATTAACTCCCCAGCTGACAAATGTCGAAGGTACAGATAACGATTATGGGTGCTCCGTGACACGAAGTAAGACGGCATCTCAGTTGACAAATGTCAAAGCTACAGACAATGTGACCCTAAATATGTCTGGTAACAGCGAATCACCAGAGTCAAGTCCATCGATAAATAAAAGCGAAGCAAGTGATGCCTTAGCTAAGGTATGTAACTATGACTGTGAATGTATAAACAGGAGCCTAACAACTGAACTTGAAGGTATTAAATTAGACATAGCAATTTTGGAAGGCAAATTATTACCCGAAGTAATTTCCCAAAATGCTTCGAACACTAACTTACTTAAAGCTAAACAAGAAAATATGGAAGCCATTATACAGCATCAAGAAGAAATGATTCAGAAACTTAGCGAGGAAAATTCAGTTTTTAAATCGAAACTTGTGTCCCATGAAAATCTAGTATTTAGATTAACAGGTAATAACCAGGAGAACAATGGTCGTGGGCCGGCAACTAATCCAATTAATACTTCAAGCGTAATGACACCCATTAGCAGTGTAAAACTGCATAATTTAAACACAAACAATTCAAGTTCAATTAATAGTCCATCAGCAGTCAAAACGCCACTTAATATGAACAAAGTTTTTAAATCGAAACTCTTCTCCCTTGAAAATCTAGTATTTAGATTGACACGTAATAACCAGGAGAACAATGATCGTGGGCCGGCAACTAAGTCTACTATTAATACTCCAAGTGTAACGACACCCATTAGCAGTGTGAAACTGCATAATTTAAACACAAACAATCCAAGTCCAATTAATAGTCCATCAGCAGTCAAAACACCACTTAATATGAATAGAAATAATGCAAGCCCAATCGCCAGAAACGATCATGGTCCTACGATAAATACAACCAACATCTCAACCGGAAGGTCATCCTGTAACAGTGTACAACTGGATGATTTAGAACTAAATGATGCAAATCAAAGTATCACTGAAATCCCATCGGCTATATCTAAAACGTCAGCTAAGTCGAGGGAAAATAATGCAAGTTTAATCACCATCGAAAATCCATCTCCCAAACAAAATCCAACTCAAAACTACTATAATCGCGACCCGAACAAAAATAACATTGATTCTGCCAACACAGACAAAACGAAAAAAGCTCTAGTGGCATGCCCGTTTCTGAAAAGGCGGGGATATTGTTTAAAGGGACACAAATGTGACTTCTTACATGAGAATGTCCTACCTGGAACACGCGGGAAGACATCTCCACAGAAGAGTGGTGAAAGATCTCTTCCTCCTAACATGCCACAATGCAGTAATAACCAATTTCCTTTTCCGTACGACCCAAATTATTTCCCCCCGATTCGTTTCCCATGGTTTTATCCCCTGTCTCAGCCGTTTCCGTACCCGTATGTAGTACCTCCACATATGCCCCCACTGATGAGACCCCCACCACTCATGTCAATAATGACAAAACCTCCCGTACATTGAATTGTGAGACCTCTTCCCTGTATACCTCTAACACTCATCCAAACCCTAACCCTTTTGGCCCAACTACTAATTATTTAAATAATGAGTCTATATATTTGGAATTCAACCGACTATCTACAGAACTAAGTTGTCCCATTCCTGTGAGAATTACCAACAGAAATGTTACCAAACTCCAACATAGTACTAAGCAAGCGAACACTGCAAATCTCACGAAAGTCAAACTGTTGCCTTTAAAAAAGGTAGTCATATCCCTTTTGTTAGGCATTTATCAATATTTTTTCAAAATTTTGATTTTGTGTGTTTTAGGTATTTTAAATAGTGTAGTTTTAGAATTTCAAATTACTTTCACGAAATTTTTAATTTTTAAATGCGAAAAATGCTTCTGAAGTTGTGGTTATACAAATTTCCTTCTTAGCAACGCCTTAGCAACGACTTTTCACCCATATATCTTCGAATTGTTCAGCTATGAACTATCTTTTCTGGTTTCTACTTTTCGTGTAT